ATCAAGTAACCGAACATTTTCATCTCGGGATTGCTTACCTCGAAAAAAATTATAGTTAAATCATCAAATTTTATAGGTAATTTTACTAATTTTATTAGATAAAACTCCAATGGCATTACACATATTTACCAAAACTTTTTTCATGCTGCTGGGATTTTTCAAAAGATATTACTTATAATCTAGTTTGAACCAAAATGATCTCAAAGTTCCTAGAGATTGAATTCTTTTTTGTTTTTTCGAAAATTTTTAACCAAGAAAGACTATAATTGAATTTTTTTGAAAAAACAAAGTAGAAATCAATTCATGAAGAATTTTGAGATCATTGTGTTTCAATTTAGGTTTTAAGTATTAGATTTTAAAAAATTCAGCATAAAAACAGTCAAATTTTTTTTAAATATGTGTAATGCATTGGAGTTTTGTAATTTTTTGATGAAAGAATTGAAATTAAAAGAGAATTAATACGTTTTATGGTTATTTATTTCAAAGTAAGCAAATCCGAGACAAAAAATTTGGTTAATAGATACATTTTTCCACTAAATCATCTATTAACGTTTTTGTTGAAATCAAGCATAAATAGTTCTTATCGAAGATAATAGAGGAAGCCTAAAACGAAATAATGCTGGAATTTTCTAAGCAAACTGATGTTTCAATATATCGCTCAATTGTTTTGATACTTAACATGAAGCCAATTAAATAGGTATACTGAGAAATTCGTATTTTCGCTCTGGTTTGCCTCAATTTAATTTCAAGCACTCTTCTGGTAGACTTAAGACAAACCAAAAAGCAGAACTGAGTTTCTATTTGTAAATCTAGAAACACTAGAAAACAGAAAAATCAGTTTGTATTTCAGTTAAGAATATCCCAAGAGAGGTCTGCATTAAACAATTTCAAATAATATCCAAAAGATTTATTCTTAATTCATTCATAAGTGCTTCGTATAACTACACCTATTAATTCCATTTTCACCATATGTTTATGTTTTCTACTTGGAAGGCTTTAAATGGTTTCCGTTTTCTCTGATTTAACCAGTTGTTAGAAACTGCGGGCAAAAATCAAGATTAAAAAAGACTGTACAAAAATTTTTGCAAGTATTTGATTGTTTTTAGTGAAAATAGTTGTGTAGCTGCTGACAAAAATCAAATTACTTTCCAATTTATAGATTTTTATCTGCTAAACGTGAGCTTGCACAAAATACAAGGTAAAATTCGAACGTTTGAGTTTTATCAGTAATTTTACCCCTTCTAGCAAATTGTCCGTTCAATTGATACTATGTTCCTTCTAAGTTCCCCCAGTGCTGCCTTTAATTTCATGCAGAGAGTGTTCAAAAGCGCGACAGAAAGCAGAAAGCAGGAAATAATTTACAACATAAGATGTCTTCGAAAAAAGTATTATAAATTATGTTGTAGAAGCAAAACAGAGTATGAACAGATATGAAGAAGTTTATAGCTGAATTATAATCACTTTCAAAAACGCTTGCTTATAGAGTCATAAGTTTTTGTGTAGTGAAAAAATTGAGCGCAAAAATTTCCTCGAAACTTAACATCTAACCATCCATTACCTATCTTAATACATTGAAAAACCTATTCCCTATCTTAAATCTTTGAATATCCATTACTAATTTAATACATAGGGGAATCTATACACTATCCTAATACATGGGAAGATCGGGCACTAAAAAATTTTTGAATGTTTCTCTGGAAACTTACCATCTTATCATCTGAAGCTCTGAAACCTATAACCTATCACAAAACTTTGGAAAAATTTTCTCGAAACTTACCATCTTACCATCTGAAACTCTGAAATCTATAACCTATCATAAAACATTAGTTCGTATTTCCGTGACTATATGTTCATCTTCCGTGACTGTATGTTTATACTTCCGTGACTATAAGATCATACTTCGGCGACTATTAGTTCGTATTTCCGTGACTATATGTTCATCTTCCGTGACTGTATGTTTATACTTCCGTGACTATATGTTCATCTTCCGTGACTTTATGTTTATACTTACGTGACTATATTTGCATACTTGCGCGACTATTAGTTCGTATTTCCGTGACTATATGTTCATCTTCCGTGACTGTATGTTTATACTTCCGTGACTATATGTTCATCTTCCGTGACTGTATGTTTATACTTCCGTGACTATATGTTCGTACTTCCGTGACTATATGTTCATCTTTCGTGACTTTATGTTTATACTTACGTGACTATATATGCATACCTGTGCGACTATTAGTTCGTATTTCCGTGACTATATGTTCATCTTCCGTAAATGTATGTTTATACTTCTGTGAGTATATGTTCATACTTCGGCCATCGTATGTTCTTATTTCCGTGACTATTATTTTACTGCTGCAAGTATACGCTCATACTTGCGAGACTATTTTAGCATACATCCAAGCCTATATGTTCACTCTTCAGCGGTTATCTGCTCGATTATATCTTTATGCTTAGACTTCCGCGATTATTTGTTCAACTTTCTTGATTTTATTTTCATACTTTAGCGACCATATGCTTAGACTTTGTGACTATGTGTTCACATTTCTGCGACTATTTATTTTACTTCTGCGACTATATGTTCATACTTCCATTACTATGCGTTCATACTTCTGCGTCCATATATTCAACTTCCGCGACTATATTATCATACTTTCCTGACTATATGTTCAAATTTAAGTAACTTACTATATATTTATACTTCAGCGACTATATGTTCAAACTTCCATAACTGTATAATGATGCTTCCGAGACAATATGTTCATACTTCCGAAACTTTATGTTCATCTTCCGTGACTGTATGTTTATACTTCCGTGACTATATGTTCGTACTTCAGTGACTATATGTTCATCTTCCGTGACTTTATGTTTATACTTACGTGACTATATATGCATACTTGCGCGACTATTAGTTCGTATTTCCGTGACTATATGTTCATCTTCCGTGACTGTATGTTTATACTTCCTTGACTATATGTTCATCTTCCGTGACTGTATGTTTATACTTCCGTGACTATATGTTCGTACTTCCGTGACTATATGTTCATCTTCCGTGACTTTATGTTTATACTTGCGTGACTATATATGCATACTTGCGCGACTATTAGTTCGTATTTCCGTGTTTAGATGTTCATCTTCCGTGATTGTATGTTTATACTTCCGTGACTATATGTTCATCTTCCGTGACTGTATGTTTGTACTTCCGAGACAATATGTTCATACTTCCGAAACTATATGTTCATACTCAACTAAAACCTGAATCAGTGGACTTCAATGAAACGACAGAATGGCTCGTCAATTTCAAGAAGTGTTACCAACGAAAAAACAATCACACGGCCTCGGACAACCAGTCACGAACACTCATCGGATGTTTGGTCCGTTTTTTCTACAAGTTATTTTATATAGCGAAAGCTAGTTGTCATTCATGTTCTTCCTGAGCTTTACTTTAAGCTGTTCAATAGTGGAGTTCGCCTTTCTTTTAATAAAAGCAATGACTGTTCTCAAGAAAAATATCAAACGTCAAAATAAAGTTTTTGAGTGTGAAAAAACTTCAAAACCTTTTCCTGAGAAGAAATAGTCACCGTCTTCAAAATTGTCAATCTTTTCGTTTTTTTAACGCTTTTGTAGATCTGAAACAAATGAGCTTTGAGGTATTTAACTCTGTCCCAGTCAATCGAGCTGTCTGCACATGTTGCTGATGGGGATACATATTCAATCTCGGTTAATTTTATTTTGAAATCAGTTGATACATTTTGGCCGTAATTGTCCATCATCCATTTAAAAGATTTGCGCAAACCTTCCGGGAAAATTTTGTAGCCTTTGAATCCACTCACCGTTACCCACCCTTCGGGGATCGTTACGCCCGATCTGTGTTGCCAAAGAAATTTGAAAAAACTTTTTTTTAAATATCGTGCAGGGCGGTTAATTTGTCGATCTTCTTTTTAGGCCGACTAAATTGATTTTCACAGCTCTAGAAAACTGTTATAAAGACCATATTTTAACCAATGTTTCTGCACTGCACGCAAATGATTGAAAAAACAGGCCAGAAAAAGCGTTCTTTGATAATTTTTGAGCAAAAAACGAGATTTTTTTGGAGCGATTCACCCCTCAAAATAGTATATATTGTTGCAAAAGGCGCCTTTCACCCCTCAAAATAGTATATATTGTTGCAAAAGGCGCCTAAAAAATTTAGTGTTAGTCAGCCAAAAATGGATGTCTTAAATAAAATCAATGGGGGTGGGCGTTGGTCCCTCTAAGTCTGCTGCTGCTTCCTTACCAAAATATGTGTGGTCGGCGGGACGTTTTGCGCTACTTGCACAGCAACTGCTATCTGTAGCTGATATTACTGATGTTTTGAATGTAACATTTAGCGGTGGAAACTGGGTTGCAGACGATGGCACTTTCAACCAGCAAGTTCCTTTTGGCAGAAGATGTTACAGAAAATGGAATATTTTGAATTAATTTGAAACAGCAATCTGCACTCAGTTCAGTGAACATATTTTGCATGCAATCTGGAAATTTCAAGCTTCTGAAAAATCAACGTTTGCATGCAAAAAATTTCTAAAAAGTTCAGCTGCTGCTTTTAATTAATATATTCTGTGCTACTTCTTATACATTTTTTACCGTAAAAAACGGTTCTGATTGATTGTAGCTAGTTTTTCAGAATATCATAATTGTTTTTAGGTGCTTAGCAAGTTCGAAAAGAGCATTCAGTGATGTAAACTTTCCTATTTTGAATGGCTTCAATTGTTTCTGACATTGTTCCTGAAATGCTAAAATTTTCTCTATTGACATTATTTTTTAAATTAAAAGCACTCCCCGTTTCAATTTTCCGTCTCAAATGAAAACTATTGCAGAATAAACTATGTATTTTTTCTATCTATATTTACAAATTTACATCAGATTCAGGATTTCTTTTTCAGATTAAATTTCTTGATCTCAATTTTTAATAGAATCGACAAGAGTTATTTTCGAACAAAATTGGAAGTGAAATAGAATGAAAAATCAAAAATACCCTTGGGATTTGGTTCAAATAACTCATGTATTTACATACTTTTTTGATAATTTTCAGTTTTGCTTCAAAATTTAATTTTAAAAATCATTTAGAAATTAACGGTAGAGTCTTGTAACGATGTCATATAATATATAGTAAATAGCATATAATATAATAACAATGATTTTTATGTACAATGTTCCAGAAGACACTAATTTGTCTTGACATCATCGTGACTTCAGAATCAGCGTCTATTGGTCATCTTCAAAAAAGATTTTCAGATTTATCAAAAATAAGTATGAGTCATATTCAGAATGGCGGCTTTCTTAGGTTCAATCAATTTGACCTCTTTCATTTATTGAGTCACGTGTGTATTATGTCTTGTCCTTGACCTCTTCTGGCGGTCATTAGCCCTGTTGTCCTCCCTGGAACATGAGTCTGAGCACGTTGTAGTCAGACCTGAGCTCGTATGTCCGGTTGAAGCGCCAGTTAGCTCTCTCCTCCGGCGGAAGATCTCTGAACAAAAATAAACTGTCAATAAATCGGGGGTTATTTTTAGTAGTCTACGAATGATAAATTTCAGAGCCACACAATGCCCAATCAATTAATTCAAACATCAGGAAAAAGTTCGCATGAAAAAATTAAGATACACTTTTTGGCTTTTCCCTACATGAAAAATATACAAGCATGTAAAGTGTAAATATTTGCCCAAAAAATGTAAATAGAACATGAAAAGTAATTTTCCTTTGCGTTATCTGATCGCATTGAAAGTTGCTGTTTTAAATTTGGAGTGATGTCCCAATAATACCAAATTCAAGCATCTTTGATTTTAATAACAACTTTGTGAAAGCATTGATTATCAAGAAAATTTGATATACATGTAAAATAACGAGGGAAAAGATCCCATTTTTGTATTAAAACCCCTAAAGATTAAAACTAAATGACACAAAGACAAAACTTGACAATTTCGGCGAAACAAAAAAGGATCGAACTTTATCATGAAAGTAACTACTGAATTTTTTCAATGAAAAATTTATGACCTTAAAGTAGTTTGATTTGAAAAAATCTTGTATGATGGACCCTTTTTCGATAAAATTAACCCAAATTGAGAAAACTAGATCAAATGGTGATATTTTGAACCACTGAGAAATCTAAAAACTAATATTTATCTAGCCAGCTATACCATTTGCCGTGTATTTAACGCGTAAGCTATGCACTAAAACGTGCAACTTCGTATGGAAATTGACTCACCGTATAACACTAACCGTAACGCGGATAGGAGCCCAAGAGTAAAAATATAAATAATAGATGATACTTACGCGGGTGGCGCGCCTTGTGATGCTCCCACGGCTGTTGCGGCGGCAGGTGCTTTGGCGGCGAACAGGATCTTGGCGCCCACGAAGAAGAGGATGAAGAAGATGGCGGTGGCCCCCACTCCACACGCGAACAGCACAAACAATGCCACCATTGGCTCCATATTCATGAACATGATCTCATCTACATTACAAAACACATTTACTTTTCATATTTTTAAAAGTTCAATTTTTACCTTACGTTCAATTCACTAGCGAAAGTTATAAACGTTTTTTTTTCGTTCTTTAACTAACTGATTGGCCATCATATACAGGGGCGGATCTAGGATTTTCTCGAGGGGGGCGGATTTTCAAAAAATTTTCGAAAATTTTGTCGACCTTTTTTTTAGGTCGACCAAATGGATTTTTTGAGCTATACCAAAGCACTGTTTTATTCCTATTTTGCCCAAAATTTGTGCGCCGCAAGCAAATTTTTGAAAAAATAGGCCAAAAAAGGCGTTTTTAGGCACTTTTTGGAAAATTTTCACCGAAAAATTACGTTTTTTCGGCGCGCGCTCCCCCCTCAAAATTAGTATATATTGGCGCCAAAGGAGCCTTTAGAAAAATTTTAAGGTTCGTCGGCCAAGACTGGATTTCTTAAAAGTACCAAAGGAGGGACCGGCAGGGGGTCCAATCCCTGAAATATATATTCAATAATCAACCACATTTTGTATAGTTCAAACTCTTTTAAATTTCGTAGTTTTTACAAGTTGATGAACAATTTTCAACTTGCACATATTTTGATGCAAACTTCGTTTCATTTTGAAATTCTTGGATAGAAATCAAGCATCACATAGTTTATAACACATCTACTAAGCGATCAGTTCAGAGATGATCTCGTAACTAGTGCATAGATTTCGCGGCAGCTCGCTCGAAACTTATGTGCTAATAGCTCGTTGAAACTTGTAACTACCCACTAGATAAAACCTAAATTGTAGTGAATAGTTATGATTTTGCCAGTGGCGTCCGCAAAAGTTTTTCTAGGGGGGAGGGCGATTTTTCGAAAAATTTTATAAATTTTGCGGACCTTTTTTTTGAGTCGACCAATTTGATTTTCCGAGCTCTCAGAAAGTACTATAATGATCTTATTTTCTAAAAAAATTTCTGCCCTGCAGGCAAACTGTTCAAAAAACAGGCCAAAAAACGGCGTTTTTGGGGCACGTTATGGAAATTTTTCACAAAAAAATGCGTGTTTGCGGCCTCCCCCCTCAAATTTAGTTATATTGGCGCCAAAGGCGCCTTTAGAAAATTTTGAGCCAAAAAGGGATGTGGTTAAGTTATACCAAAGGGGTACCCTTGGAGAGTTTTGGCAACCAGAATTAAGCCCCCCTCTCCCCCTCACCACGCTACTGAATACTAGTGAACTAGATAACACCAATATAGTTAAGTTAGTTATGACTCATTACCAGCTGGCTTCTCCACCCTCCATACTCTGTGGTTCTCCAGTCCGTACTGTCCACAGAACACGGGAATCGCCTACAAGAAACAAAGCATCAAAAAATACAAATAACAAGACATTTTTTATGATACAAATATGATAGTTGCAGTTGTAAAAAAGCAATTAAAAAAGCAAGTTGACAATCGAAAATAAAAAATAAAGTTACATGTTGTTATCCAAATATTTAGGGCTAGCCCTTAAATTTCGTCTTCAATGAATTTTATAGGTGTTACAGCGCACACTCAGTAAAAACAAAAAATAACCGATTGAATTAAAATTATAATTGTATTACTTTAGAAAAATCATAATTAATTATAAGAGCCAATTATATATATTTAAATAATTTATAAACCATTTCAGTAACAACATTTTTCAAGAGAATAAAATAAGAATAAGTTATTGTTTTATAATCGGATATAATTTTTGTAGAAAATATCTTAAAATTGATTATAATATTTAACATCTCGTTTTACCAAAATGTTATCGCAGCAATGTCTTGCCGCATTTTGGTTCATCTCAAAATATTTTCACCACAAAACAAGTTTGATGCAAATCTCTTCGTAGAAAGGCTCCCGTGGTAGGCCAAAGTAATAATCAAACTAAAACAATGTTCTGATATTTCAGTATATAAAAAAAAAGAATTTGAAATATTAAAGAAAATTATTGGAGACCAAATAAAGACAAACGCTACATATTTGAGTTAATTTCAAAACTGTTGAAACGGTCATTCGAATTTTCATAATATTCAAATTTTATGAAACGCCTAAATTATCAGCAACTAAGATACAAAATCGAAACCAACAGATAATATAATTGGAAAACAGTCAATGAACGCAAGCAAACAAAAAACGTACTTGATTTTTTGGAGAAAATATCATCTTTCGAAATTAGAAGAAAAAGAAAACAAGAAGATCTTAAGACTCGCTAAATTTCTAGAACAACTTATGATTTAAACTTTTATGATAAAATTAACCCATTTGAGAAAACTGGAGCAAAAGGTAATTGTTTGATATATCTTTTGAGAAATCTGATAAATAAAATCTATTTTTGAAATTAGAAGTTGATCACACATGAATTGCCTTCTTTTAACAAAGTAAATATAAACTGAACGTAAAAAGAAATCAGGACTCAAACCGCGAAAAAGTGAATTTGAGCCTAAATGAAATTTAATACTTTTTCTGAAAAAAAAACAAACAAAAAATTATCACGACCTTTATAAGAGTCTAAATTACGTTCATTCACTCTTAAAAATAAAAAAGTGTTTTAAAAATTGACTATAATCCAAGAAAAAAAAATTGAAGAAAAAAGGATTACAGCAGTTATAATCCAAAACAATTGATTGAAAATGGATTTAGTTGCCTAAAAATAGTCAAGTTTTAATCAATTTTAATCAATCAATTTTGAATTTTATATATAGAGACCACAAAAATTGCATATAGTCGATTATCAACTCTTTACAGTAAGTTCGGGAGTGCGGTTGAAACACTTCACTTTTAATAATTTTTAATGCTCAAACAGGACTGCTTCTAATTTTGAAAACAAAAACAAAGTTATCCTTTTTTATCCCTCCAAGGCACTTCCAATGGTCCTAATTGACTTTATCTTTGCAGGGACGCATATATTTTTTTAAGTTACAAAAAAGCAAGAGGGTTTGGGTTTGTGGAAGATATAGCCAACAGTTAGTTGAAGAAATTAAATCCACTTTCCAAATCAAAAACCATTCACGTTTTTCGTGACCTTTTCACTTTCGCTGTTCAATAGTGGAGTTTGCCTTCGTTTTACCAAAAGAAACAAACTGAAATTTAAAAGAAATCAAAAGTTAAGCCGCGTAAAATTAAATTTCCTAGAAAAAAATTAACAAGACTTTTATAAGAGTTTTCACTACGTTCCTGACTCTTAAGAACGCAAAAAAAAAACATTTTCATGCTGTTATCCGAAGTTTTCAGGGATAATCCATAGAAATGGTTTCACGACCCATGTTTAGTGAATTTCACGAGGAATAATAATGCCGTCGAAACACAGCATTAATGTTAAATGCTGAAACAAAGCTATCAATGTTTACAGATTTTTGATAAAGTAACATAAGAGCAAGGGGGGTTTGGATTTGTGGGAAATATATGTATAAAAATGGTATGCTTACGATGAATGTGTATGCCCTGTATATCTCCAGGTTGAGCAGCTGTACATTATCTGGTCCCACCACTTTACCCTCCCCCAGACTGGATCCAATGTTCGAGTAGACTGGGTCTATCATCTCTGGGTCTGAGGTGAGGATGTAGTAGTCCACTGTTCCTATCGGTTGGGTGAAGTTCAACTCCACCTGTGTGTCGCTCAAGTAAGTCGCTGTCACTGTTGGCTGAGAAGGCACTTAAGAAAAAAGTCCGAGTTAATCTCTAGCCGGTTAAGACATTACGACGTTTACTTGTAGTCAAACTAATTTCAAACCAAAGTTTTTGATTTGATTAAAGGAATGTGCAGGAATTTTTCTAATGGGTGGACAGGGTGGTAGCGGTTTTAAGACAAAATTTTTTTTCGTACAATATTGTCGACCTTTTACATTGGGGTTGACAAAAGTACTTTTCGGTTCTCTTTCAACGTTACTGAAGCGACGCTATTTTGTCAAAATTTTCTGCGCATTCGAGTTTTTGACAGACGGTTGGAAAAAGTCAATTAACGCAATGAAACAGAAAAAAAACAGACTTGTTTTTTAAAAAAATCTCAACTTTCGTATTTTGAAAAATAATTGACTTGGGAAATCTGAAAATTAAATTTCATTTTCAAAGTCGATTAAACTAGAAGTCGATTACATTTTTCGTGACGTTTACAATTTCGCTGTTCAGTATTGGAGTTTGCTTTCCTTTTAACAACGGAACTAAACTAAATTTAACAAGAAATCAAAAGTCAAATCGCGAAAAATTAAATTTGAGCCCGAATAAAATTTAAGACTTTTCCTTAAAAAAAAACAAAAAAAAATCACGACCTATATAAGGGTGAGAAGAACGTTCATCGACTCTAAATAAAATTAGTTGTTACATGTGCAGGCGGTGAGTTCGACAGTCTTGGATGTGCCCACGAGCAGTTCGGGTCCATCACTCCTCTGACACATGAAGTCGGTAGTGATGGTCACATTTAGAGTGTACCGAGTACCAGCTGTGTATCCATCATGGCTGCAAAAATTACTTTCATTTAATTTGATTTTAAAAAGTATGATTTTGATTTCAAGATGGGGTCAATTTGTTTATTATTTACAAAATTCATCCAAAAAAATCCCATCATAGAAGAACACCAAAAAAGGTAGTTAGCTGTCTACTATCGAGTGATGCTCTTCAACTTCAACCACAAGTTTTTTTTAGAGTAGAAAGCTGAAAATTATTTTGCAACAATAAAACCTAACTTTATCTTAGCAATGTCAATCTTGGTTTGAGTTTAATTCTGATGAAAAAAGCAACGTTCGTAGTAGCCGAGAAAACTAAATTTAGTTTTGAATTGAAAATGAGCGCAGAAATATATACTGACATTTTGTGAGTAATGGTGCTGGCGAGAGTGATTTCAGAGTCGGAGTTTCTCTGGTAGATGAAGCGGTCCATTGCGCCTTGAGAAGGTCCAGACCAGGACACATTCAATTCAGTCTCCGACACACCCGCAACACTGATCGACTCGGCTTGACCAGGACCTAAATCGACAACATTTAGATTAAAATTCAATAATTTTAGATTAAAATACTAAACTGGTATAGAAAGATTGCGCGGTACGTAGTCTAGCATTGATCGACATTGTATGACTAAGATCTGCATGAAAACACACGCCCACATACGAAAAACAAATTAGTTTTGCCCACATTGAGGGTCAGGTCACAGGTTTCATTAACTATCACAGTGAATTATTTCACAGTGACACAAATGACATGCTGCCCTTCCATACTTTGGAGTAAAACTTATATATAGTACTACTAACATGTGCACATCTGGAATGGCTCGAACTTGTCACCCTCCAGCAAGTACTTCTCCGCTGTTCCAGTGAAGTTGTAGTAGGAGCCCGGATTCAAACCAGTCCTCTCCGCACACTGGTCGTTGTAGTCTGTGTTCACCGCGAACTCCACATCCAGGGGCGCAGAGGGAGAGTTGGCTGGTCCAGAGTAGAAGTGGAGACGACTGGGGTCAATGTTTCCATTCAGGTCAACACAGGCGCGGATTGTGTTTTCGTCCACGCAGCCGGAAGCATTTCCGTTCATCGCCATCGTATACGGCCCTAAACAGATTTAGTTGTCTTTTTTAAGTTGCAACTCCTAAAAATTACTTCCACTTCAAAATTTGCTTCAGATCGGAAACTGCCCCGAAGAAATCATTTGGTGTAATTCACGGGCAAAAAATCAAATTTGAACGTGACATTTGTTCATTGACAAGCACGATTTGGGTGAACTGCAGTGATGGGCCAACAAGGTCAACTTACGTGTATACGCCATTATGTTGCCCTGGTTGAAAGAATTGACTCTGCCCTGAGAAGTTTTGCAGTCGAGGACTGCCACCAGACTCACATCCAGGGCATCAGAGGGTCCTGGGAGTCCAGTCACGTGGTGGGTGTATGTGGTAGTGGTGTTCATCGTGTCTGATTCAATGAAGGCACCGCTGCTGTTAGTGTAGTTGTATTGGATCTCGTACCTGTGGTTAACAAACACGCACACTAGTGTTCACGTGCTCATGATTCATTCGATGCACTGCTCAGCTCTTTTTCAAAATTCTAATTTCCGTACATAACAAACATTTTCGTAACAAAATATTTGTTCACAATGTCATTTTTTTCAAACAGTGAAAAAATTTAAGATAGTTAAGTTTGAACATTGAATTTGCTGGAAAAATGAAACGAGCCCGAGATTTTTACCGATTTTTTAAAATCAACTTGCACTAGATCTGTATAAAAAAATTACCGCATCAAAGATAATTAAAACCAATAGTTTTTTTTATTAAATGAGTAGTGAACAGAAGTTTTAAAATTGAGAAAGGAAGTACCAGAATTGGTATGTGTTGTTGTCGAAGAACGCTTCCATCTCAGGGTGAACATTCACCGATTCCACCCAGCTCATGTTCAGAGAGTAGGGGTCATAGGTGTCCCGGTCCAGAGACAAAGGCGCCCGAGGACCTACACAGAACATGTTCTGCTCACAAAAAAATTCTCATGATAACAAGGATAGCCCGTTACTGCAAGTAGCACAGAATGTTCCGACCACAGTCTTAGGAAAATACAAAATTTTTTCTCAAATTGGTGTCGTTTTTTTCAGCATGTTGTGATAAAAAAAATCTGAATGAAATAATATAATTTAGGCATATTTGAGAGTCATAGTAAAGAAAGTCAATTGGAAAACATTTTTCGAAGAATAATGACTTGAAAAAGGAAAAAAATTTTGAAAAAAATTTCAAAAAATTTTTGCGGAAATGTTTTGAACTTTCAAGTTTTGGATTCATAAAATTGCGCTAAAAAACTCCAAAAACTACCTTTACTTGAGTAAAACTTAGTTTTCGCGACCTAAATCAAACTTAAAAAATCTTTTGCAAGTACTAACTACCTTACTAATTAGCTCAAAGTTAGACCAAAAATCAAAAATTTCAAACCGGTTTTTCTCGACAGGTTTTTCCTTTTTGAAATTTTTAGTGTCGTTTGAATCACGACTGAGAGGGCTTTAAAATGATATAACACTCAATCCTGTCCTATGATTATTTGTGGTAGCTGATTTTGCGTGGAAAATAAAAAGTTGAAAAAAAAAATAAAACACCCAAATACAAAATTCCTCCCCATTTTCAATGGTCGGAGCAGTTATCCCAATTAGAAGCACTATTCACACGACAGAAGGTCCGAACGCTCTAAACTTTTCAACCAACCGGCGTCCTTCAAAATATCAAAATGACTTATTTTCACGATTTTCGTTTGAACTTCTGAATGCTAGTAAAATTTTTAGGCAATCAGTGGTTCTGGTTTTAGCCCAAAATTTGCATTGACCTGTAAGAACTCTGACAGAAAGGATTGAATATTTGTGCACAGCGTGTTTTTTATTTGGACAAGTTTCAACTCTCAACACTAGCCTCTTTTTTCTGTCATCTGAAAAATATTGACGCCCTGAGTTTAAATATAAAACGACATTTTACCAATGTTTTTTTATAAAGCTGTGACCGTTTGCGAACTTTGTACATTGGTTTGATAATTGGCAAGATTCAGATTTTGTATGATAAGCTTATGCACAGTAGCTGGGGCGAATTGTTTCACGCAGGGGCGAAGCGGAGCTTCTCAAAACTCGCATTGCAAAAATCATTTATGAATATCTCATTTTTAAGTTGAAAAAATTACTTGAAAAGTTGAAAAAAAATTCAGTTACAAAAACTTCATTGTTGTATAGAAAGTAGTTCATAAACAACCTTAAAAAGGTACTTTCTATAAGGTTTTGAGAATTTAGGTTCTTAAGAAGGTTTTCTAATTTTCTAGGTTTTGCGGTCTCTTCTTTAAATTAGTGTATGTAGGCGCCAAAGGCGTCTTTATAAACATAGCCAACTGACAGTTGGAAAAGAGTAATAAACGCAAGGAAGCAGAAAAAAACTAACTTGTTTTTTGAAGAAAAAAAACTGAAAATTTTGAATTTAAAAGAAAAAATAGATGGCCATAATGCTCTTTGAATTTGTAGAAAAATTTGTAGTTGATACTTTTTTTGATAGATTATCCCAATTTGAGAAACCTGGACCAATAGGTTAAACTTTTATTTCGCTGGGAAATCTGATAATTAATTTCCATTTTCGAAATTAGAAGTCGATCACGTTTTTCGTGACCTTTACACTTTTGCTGTTCGGTAGCGAAGTTTGCCTTCTTTTTAACAAAGCAAATGCAAACCGCAAAAAAATCAAAATTGAGCGTGAACAAATTTTAAGACTTTTTCCTGGAAAAAACCAAAAAAAGTCACCAAGACTTATATAACAATACTCACTACGTTCATTAGGATCGATTGGGAGACAATGAATGTCTAGAACCCTTGGGCGTACCGCGAAAGGTGCGTCCCTTACCCGTAAAAACTTACGTTGGTAAAGTAGCAACATATATGTTCAAACCAGTGGTTAAAATATTTCATTTATATGTGGATGAGTTATATGTGGATGATGGCTCACAGGTGCACATGTGTACAAGGTCGCTGTCAGTGCGAAGGGTGGCCCCAGTGTCGGTGACTATGACTGCGGATATCATGTATGTGTAGTGCATCCCATACTCAAGGGGTCCATCGTCTATGTAGAATCTGTAGGGGTCTATCTTGATTATTTCCCCATCCCTAAAACACAGCACACAACTCAACTAATTACTATCACAATTGATACTGTGCTGGTCAGATTAGTCATTTAGTTATTGTGGCGATGAAGGGAAAAGAAGGAAAAAGTTCGGAAAAGCAACAACCATTGATTTCTCGCATTCAGTGAATTATCATGGCTCAACTTTTGACTTTTATCTGATTACCTTTGCTTGAACTAGATAAAAAATCGTATCTAAACGTAATACCCCCCATACCCTCCGTCATACCCGACAAAACTTGGGTAACTATCAAAAACAACCCCCTCTTACCTTTTCAGTTGGTACTCCACTCCATTCTCCACATCGAACGAGGTCATGGTGACATTGACCTTGTTGCAGTCGACCAGTTCGCCCCCGTTGATGTTCGGCTTAGAGGGACTCGTCCAGGCCTCCACCTAAACACATTATTATATACGACATCATCGAAGAACACTCACATTATATGGTATGATCACTGCAAAAATTACTAAACAGACCGAACACCAAGGTAGCCGAGTTTGAAACCATGGATCAAATATGATGGTAAGGTCCCTGGAAAAAAGATGTATGCAAGAAGATCACTTTGGAAAATCCGAGGAAACAGATAAGTACTCACATCAAAGCATATCTCGGATAATTCCCCGATAGCCGAAAAAACAGGTCGAAAACAACGTTTTCTCGCCTCTACCCTCAAATTCTCAAATTAAAAGAATATTGGCGCCGAAGGCAAAAAATTATAGGGTTGGTCAACCAAAAATGAATGACAAAAATTAGTGGAAAAAGGGTGGAGTTTTTGAAAAAATATGGCAACCTCATCCTTCGGCACACTACAAGACAGGAATGAACTGAACTTAAAAAAAAACAAGTCAAACAGCGAAAAAACTAATTCGAGTCTGACCAAATTTTAAAACTTTTCCTGAAAAAAATATCACGGCCCATAAAAGAGTCTGAACTACGTTCATCACCGCTGAATGAGACCACCCGAGGCCTAACCCGGCGGTAAATTATTTAGGCTGACCGTTTTTCTCGGTACATCCAAAATGTTCTGTTTTCTGCGATTTGAATTTTTATAGTAAACTACAGCTCTGTAAAAAAATAGTGATGTTTTTCAACCAATCCTTGTTTTTTTGAGTGGCTTTTCTATATGAAAGATTTAAAAAAAGATTTTAACAAAAGGAAGCAAGGTTCCTGATGGACACTATCAATATCAATTGCGCCATAACATTCCCGTACTGAACTTTGTGTACAAATTCTCGTCTGATCTGCCATTTAGCAGGGGAGGGATATTTCTCAGGACTGTTATGCCATTATGCAGTCCTGTTAAGAGGTGAACATACGTTTTTTTCTACAGACGTGGTCGTACCTGGATCTTAAATGATCAGACCCGAGTGAAACATGTTTATGCCTGCCGCATGTTTGATTTTTATCTGCTGCATGATAATGTCTGACTTGTGTATGACCAAATCAGACAGGATTTCTTCACATATGCAGCGCTAATTTTAACCGCGCATGCAAATAGATTGTTTACAGCGTGTATGCGGAAATCTCCAATAAACAAGAGAATTTGTATTTCCTTCATTTTTATCATTTCTTTTCGAACAAAAGACCATAGCCCCCCTCCCCCCAAACACGAATCTTATTGTTTTATAAGTTTATAAGTGGAGATATAATTTAACTAACGACATATCTTTGTTTTTTGGTTTGAACAAAACCTTTATTTAAAAAAACATTGAAAATTCTCTTTTACCCATTTCAGTTTTTTGATTAAAAATGAGTTTATCCAAGTTTACATCATCGAGTCAACCAGTGAATGGAGAAACTCATATGACTGGATTATCGTCACAAAAAAAAACTCGCCAGATTAGTTTCCAAAAAGTCCCTTTCCATAAATTTTTGAGTTGTTCAAAATTTTTTGTTGGGATTGTTTTGACCCCCCTCCCGCTGAATTTTCTTCGATGATAAACGTTATAATGGATTTCTAGTGACACTTCTTTTTTGTTGCAGTTCTCTTATGAACGGCGGCGGGGGTGGGTGGGCTACTCAATTTAGACTCCACCTCTATACCCTCAATTTTAGTCCCCCCCTTTGGTATAACTGAGCCCTCCACCACCCACGTTAAGTAAACGGGGGGGTAATTTGTGTGTGTGTTTAAGGTGGGGGTGGGGGGATGTTGTTAAACTGCGGGACGAAACTGGAGAAGTTTAGCTTAATCCCTCACGCCCCACCCTTAGGTTAGCCATCCCCCCGTGTTAACAGGCGATAAACTGGGATGGTGTGGCAGAGGGGGTGGCCGGTAAAAACTGGGGGGAGGGGGGGGGGGGTAAAGTAGGGGGGTTTAAATTGGGAGCGTGAGCGTTTACCCAATCCCCCCCCTGTCGGCCAGCTTACCTCACTTGTTTCCCGGGTTGACAAAAATCCGTATCATACTCTTGCATACAATTTCATAGAGCAAAAGTAAGCAGGCGCGGATCTAGGAATTTCTCGAGGGGGCGGATTTTCAAAAATATTGAAAATTTTGTAGTTTTTTTTTCAAATCGACCAAATTAATTTTTTGAGCTCCCAAACCACTATAAAGACCCTATTTTAGCCAAATTTTCTGCGCCGCAGGCAAACTTTCAGAAAAATGTCAAAAAAGGCGTTTGTTCCCCTCAAAATTATTATAGATATTTATGGTCTTAAAATAACAACAAAAAACACCAATACCTATATAAGAGTCTTCACTAATTTAAATACTCTTAAAAAATAAGTGATTTTCAGAAAAACCGATAAAGTTCACCTGTAAAAGTTAATTTTTTATTTACAGAAGAAAAGAGACAAGCTACAACTATCCACTACTCCCCGCTAACAACTACTGACTGCATGCATTGAAAGAAAGAGGAATCTATCCACTATCGTAAACTTTCAACTAGAAACGTTCCCGATGTCAGAAAACTTCTAAAAAAAAACAAAAAATTCGAAGTAAAATGTCAAAATACTGAGCTGAATTTATAATGATGATGCAAATTAACGGTTGCTCATTTCGTTTTCATAATTATCTTGAAATTTTTTCAACTCAACGTTTTTAGTCAGTTTTGCTTTAAAGAGGGTTACAAAATCTCCCAGCTGAGATTAAAGCATTTTATATACATTTCTTGAGTTCAGGTATGTCAGGTACCTTGCAGGTGTGAACATGTTCCAATCAGGTGTGGTCATGGCACATGCAGGTATGAGCATGCTCAGTTCAGGTATGATCAAATATCGTGCAGGTGTGAGCATGTTTAGTTCAGGTATGATCATGTATCCTGCAGGCTTGAGCATGTTTAGTTCAGGTATGATCATGTATCCTGCAGGTGTGAGCATGTTTAGTTCAGGTGTGATAATGTATCCTGCAGGTGTGAGCATGTTTAGTTCAGGTATGATCATGTATCCTGCAGGTGTGAGCATGTTTAGTTCAGGTGTGATAATGTATCCTGCAGGTGTGAGCATGTTTAGTTCAGGTATGATCATGTATTCAGCAGGTGTGAGCATGTTTAGTGCAGGTATGATCATGTATGCTGCAGGCGTGAGCATATCTTCAGCTAGCACACCTGATGCAGGTATGTGCATGCCGAAAATAGACATGCTTCACATCTGAGACAGACATGAAATTTGTATGGCTTTACGATGATCAGATATGATTACAGAGAAAAAATTTGGTACGGCTTTCTCAATGACTTACCTGTGTGAAGTCGCTGTACAGCAGAGGCCTCTGGGCGAATATGACGTCAGAGGTGACTGTGTCGTTGGTACAGTCCTTGAATGGCTGCCAGGTGCTGCTGTACACCGCACACACCTGGAACGCCCTCGCACTCATCAGGTAGGGAGAAATGGGAGTTGCCAAGCCATCAAATCGTTTCGATCGAGTCTGTTCCTGAAACAACAAAAGCCGTTATAATTTTCACTGTCCAAAATACACTTCTACAAAACTCAACTAATCTAATTATTGGGACTATGATAACATCTCTCGAAATGTTTTGAGGGAGGGGTATGGTGTTAATACGTATTTAATTAGAACTTTCAGCTAAAACTATTCGAGTATTCACTTGCAGCCCTAGGCAATCTTGCCAATTTGTCATCAAAATAGAGTAGGACTATGTATAATTTACATTTGAAATTAGCTACCAGAAGTTTTGCAAAAAACACAGAGCAAGGAAACCAAAAAAAATTGAAAATTTTTCAACTCTCAAATTATGAATAAAAAATAATATCTCATTGAGGCTCTTGGACTTTGGATACTGTTTCTGATTGGTGCTTTTTTGTTAGAGAATACTGGATCAAAATGTAATATTTTTACTCCACAGGGAGTTCAAACAACTGAATTACATTTTTGAAACTATGAAACTAGAAGTTATTGTTCACGTTTTTGTGACTTTTTCACATACATTGTTTGATAGTGGATTTTGCTTTCATTTAATACTGTAAATGAAGTGAACTTGAAAATGAGGGGAACTTAAAGAAATGATAACACAAACCGCAAAAAACTTCCCTTAAACCGAGCAAAATAAAAATGGAAAGTGTCGTTACGTGTTTTCACGTTTATTATGCAGTTCATTACAATTACATGTTTAGATTAAGAATGTGCTTTTTTGAATAATTTCAATTTTTTTTCAATTTTAGTTACAGCTGAAATTATATGGCTAAAAAAACGAAAACAAATTTTTTTGAAATTTTCTGGAACAAGGATATTGAGAACATAGCCAACAGATTATTGGAAAAGAGTCATGAACGCACGTAAATATAAATAAAAACTTGTTTTTTTTTTGAAAAAACTGTAACTTTTGGATTTCAAAAAACACATATATGCCTTGTTAAAAAATATAGATTGTGATATTGATGACCTAGAATTACTACACGCTAGGAGACAACAACCACAAGTTATAAAAACTATTCAAAATTAAATTCAAATTGTTGGACATAGCCAAAATAGAAAATGAGAATTTAGCCAACAGACTATTGGAAAAGAGCCTTGAACGCATGTAAAGAAAAACAAAAAACTTTTTGTTTGTAAAAAAAACTGTAATTTTCGAATTTCATAGAAAAAATATATGCCCTGTTAAAAAAATATATAAATTGTTATATTGATGACCTAGAAGAACAACACTCTAGAAGACAACGACCACAAGCTATATAACTATTCAAGACAAAATTCAAGTTGGTGGACACATCGATTTCTTCATCTTCCTCCATTTTTTGCAGTGTATCGATTAGCATAAAGCTCGAGCATTTCCAACAGACAGTTGGAAAAGAGTTAATGATCGCCAGCAAACAAAACAAAACACCGACTATTTTTTTAAAAAAAACATTTGATTGTCAAACTTTCGAATCTCAAAGTAAAAAAAAAAAGAAAAATTTGTCATGAACACTTTTTTGATTACATTAACCCAATTTGAGAAAACTAGATCACTTTGTATTTTTTTGGCTTGGAAATCTGAAAATTAAACGCCCCATTCGAAACTAAAAGTCGATCACGTTTTTCGCGACTTTTGCAATTCTGCTGTTTGATAGTGGAGTTTGCTTTCCTTTTAATAAAAGAAATTAATTTTCAGTAACATTCAGATGAACTGATCAAAAGTCAATACGCAAAAAAGCAAAAATGACCGTGAACAAAATGCAAGACTTTTTCCTGAAAAACAACCAAAAAAATTACCAAGACCTATACAGTGCTGATTTAAATTAACCGGACAAAACGCGTTAAACTTGAAATTTAAAACGCATTTTTCTCAAATTGGGTTGAGTTTAGGTGAAAACTTATGAAGACAAAACTTGCTTAGAATTTTAGCAGAATTAATATGGTGTAATTTGTTTTGCAAAATTCGGGTCCAAATTTTTACCCCAAAAATGGGTCATTTTGGCTTTTCTTAGTTAATCAAAAATTACGCCAAAACTACCCAGTCGATCACAGACATAATTATATCAAAGTGAGCCCCTTACCTAGCCCAACAAACTTTAAGAAGGGTATTTTCTCCAAAAAAAATTGCATATTGTTTAAAAATTGTTTTTAAATAAAAAGTTGGTATTTTATATAGTAAAAATGACCTTTTTTGTCTATCAAACAAAAATAAGTTAACTTATACAATATTTTGGAGATTATACCCTCCTTAAATTTTGTTGAGCAACAAAAGAGGCTCACTTTGATATAATTATGTCTGTGATCGACTGAGTATTTTTGGCGTAATTTTTGATTAACTAAGAAAAGCCAAAATGACCCATTTTTGGGTAAAAATTTGGACCCGAATTTTGCAAAACAAATTACACCATATTAATTCTGCTAAAATTCTAAGCAAGTTTTGTCTTCATAAGTTTTCACCTAAACTCAACCCAATTTGAGAAAAATGCGTTTTAAATTTCAAGTTTAACGCGTTTTGTCCGGTTAATTTAAATCAGCATTGTATAAGACTATTCACTACGTTCATCAATAAACGCTGATTTTCGATTTATCGAAGCTTTTTTTTTCTTAAACACGTAATCATTTTCCACTATGCAACATCCTACGCTAAAAATCGTCTACTTCTTTTTTGGGCTCAAGTGTTCTTCAGTTTTTTCTAATTTTTGCTTAACCTGCTGGTTATCATCGCTTAAATGAAAATCAGTCACGATGCACTAAGACATTATGCAATTTGTAGATCACTGGCCAATCAGAAGTTAATACGATGCAACTATGCAAGTAGTTACTAATTTAATTTTTCTCTCTACCCTAACAATTTTTATTGGTTAAGTAAAGACAAGATGTGTAAGTTGATTTATGAGCATAGGTGACCGGGCCAAAAATAGCTATACAGCTAGAGTTCTGTTTGAATATGCCGATAGTCTACTTTTAGAAACAGTACTGACGTTGTCAAGTTTGGCGAAGTTCTGGTACCACACTTGGAAGCAGGTCTGTCCTCCCGTGAAAATGGAGGGGATCACGTGGTCCCACTTGTAGCTGATCCAGTCAAATCCATTGTCCACCCACTCCATGTCAATGGGTCTTGCAGGTCCTGAAACACAAAACCACAAAATGTTCAATTTTTCACCTACCAAGTCGTTAAAACGTGAAAAGAACTTACCCTAATCAATTTATTGCATACACCAATTGCTTCCTTATTTCATGAACAGCAAAAAAAAAATTAAAACAATAATCTACAACTTAAATCTGCAGTCTGGTGAGAAGAAACGGCAGAAGAAACCTGCTTGCTTATTATTTAAATCAAGTGAAATGGGTAACTACTGACTTGTGCATGCGAATATGCGTTCTTGGAAGTTGTCGGTTGAGTGACCATGCAAGTGTGTGGTGACGGAGCACTGGTACACTGTGGATGCATCGTCGAAGTCCATCGGGAAGGGGGACCTGTTGTCCGTCAGATTTTCCTCCACTATGAACCAGTTGGACCATGAGTTGTTCATGAAGTATTGTTGTCGACACCATAGTGTGTACCTAAAGCAGGAAAATAACAACAAATTACTTGAGGCATTAGATAAAATATCAATTCTTAAACATAACCGCACCAGAGCTCCTGAGATAAAATCGATTACATATGAGTTTTATAGTCGTGTCTAAAAAAGTAAACAAGACTGCTCGTAGATCAGGGCAAAGCCCTGAATGTTCCGACTGCCCATTAATTCATTTCGAATAGTTTTTAGTTCTGTTGCGAATCTTACTATTCGTCTTATTTCATTTAATTAGTTTTAAAGTTTCTTAACTGGTTAATTTAGATATGACCTTGTTATCTTCATTCTCTCCGACGGAGAGAATGACCGCTCACTTTTTAATGTTTTAATTTAGAGATTAATTCACTTTTTAAACATATCTTATTTGTAACTAAGTAGAATTATCCGTAACAAAGAAACATTTTATTATGGCGCAGTCAAACAGCAACGAATCAAACGTGAGAGGTATACCTTCATTTTGGCAAAACCACACAGTGGACCCACCAATCCCTTGGGAAGAGTGGAGCGATCTATTCCAGCTAGCAATAATCGCAAAGGAGAATATCGATATCGAAAATCTCTTGAATCCATCGGAACGATATCATCCACTTCCCCCAACATTGGAAAATCCGCCGGAAAATGAATCCGACGCTCAAAAAACATCTCGCATCGAGAGGAATATTCGAGAACAAAAGAGATTCGATGATGAAGAAATGGCCTCAATAAAGTCAGAAACCAAGAAATTCAACGGCATGAGACTTGAAGAGGCGGACAAAAAACTCAGATCCATACTCTATCTAGCCCTCGGATACGAAGGAAAGAAAATATTCGGCCAAAAGTTTACGAGAGTTAAAATTCTACAAATTTCTTTCAAAGAATTTTGGGAAAATTTGTCCGTAGCTTTTGTGAGAAAGACAAACATAACCTTCGAAAGACACAAGCTATTAAACAAAAAACAGAGGGACAGAGAATCATTAGAACAATTCTGGGGGGCACTTGCAGAAATGGCGAAAAGATGTAACATTCCCACAGGAGAAGACGAATGGATTCGAGATATTTTTATCAATAACATGAAGAACTCGGACATCCAACGGAAACTTCTCACGGAAACCTTACCTCCACTAGAAGCCTTAAATGTAGCCCTGATTGACGAAAAAGGAATAACAAACCACATCAAAATGACGAGTACTTTTAAATCCAACGGATATTCCTCCAACAAATCTTTTAATCATTTTAATGTAAAAAGAGAACCCACCCTAAACATCGAAAGAACCAACACATGTATGAAATGCGGCGGAAATTTTACAAAAGGACATCTAGCGGTTTGCCCCGCTAAAGATACGACTTGTACGACTTGTAAATATCGAGGACATTTTACTAGACTCTGTAAATCACGCCGTAAAAATGTAAATATTGTGGATAGTCAAATTGTATATAATACAGACCATAATTATCCTTCGGAACAACCGGATGAACATATCGACCACGCCAATAGAGAATGCTGTGGAGTAATCAACGCATGGTTGGAGTCCGGACAGAGCGATAACGATGATTACTCTGTATTAAACGTAACAACTATCTACGACGATCAAGGAAAGGAACTGAAGAAATTACTAAACATCGGCTTAGGAAATGAAAACCAAGTAATTCTCAATATACAGGTGGACTCAGCAAGCCCTGTAAGCTTCCTTAAGCAGAACGTGTTACACGAGTTGAAGTTACGAGACCCTTATGCGAAAATTTATCCAGTGGATAAAGCGACTAAAGAACTCTATTGCGGATTTACGAACAACGCAATAAATATCACTGGAGAGGTAATCGTCCCAATTTTCTCAAATGGATGGTCTCACAAGGAATGCCACTTCTTCTTAACTCAAGGTCATGAAAGAAACATCTTGGGAAACAACAATTTACCGAAAGTCGGAATTGAAATTTCACAAAAACAATTCACAACACTCACCAACAAGAGAACTTGTAAGTCTATCAATTCAGTTACCTCACTTGACAGAGATAATGAAACAGAAATGATTTCCAAAACCTTCAAACAATTATTCCTTCGGATTGGAAAGATAAAAAATCAAACAAAAATAACACACTTTCACGAACCTCTAAAGCCAATTCAACTAAAAGGCAGGAGGGTCCCTTTACACTTACTGGATTCAGTAAAATCAGAATTATACAGATTCAAATCCGAAGGACACATCAAAAAATTAGAAAACTGTGACGAGGACAGATTTATTAGTCCGATAGTTATCACTTGTAAAAAAGGCAAATCGATAAAGCTAGCTCTAGATTCAAAATTTATCAACAAACAAATTTACAAGAACAAATATCAGATGCCCAATATACACGATTTAGTGGATAACGTAGCGGCTCAAATTTCCGAAAACTCCGCCGGAGAAGTGTCGTTCACCAATCTAGACTTAAAGAACGCATATAGTCAACTCTCGCTAGACAACTTTACTAGCAGCCAATGCAATTTTAGCCTAGTTGGCGGAGATATAACAGGCACTTATCAATTTTTAACAGGTTTTTACGGACTCGGCGATATGCCAAACGAGTTTCAAAGAGTCATGGACTCAACTCTGGGAAATATTCCTTTCACTAATTGTTACCTTGACGACATATTAGTCGCTTCCAAAGGAAGTTTTAACGATCACAAGAAAATTGTTTAAAAAATTTTATCAACGCTAGATAGTTACAATTTCGCAGTTAAATGGTCGAAATGCAAATTCTTCCAAAAAGAAATCGAATGGCTCGGCTTTAAAATATCGAAAACCGGAATCGCCCCACTATTCGATAAAACCAAGGCAATCAAAGATATTCCAATTCCAAAGAATCTAAAAGAATTAAGATCATTCTTCGGGTCAACTAATCAGTACATTAAATTTGTACCAAATTTAGCATCCCTCGGAAGCCCGCTTAGACCTCTTCTAAACAAGAAGTCAATTTTCCTTTGGAATGAAGATCACTCAAAAGCATTCGATAAGATTAAATCAGAAATGAATACTGAAAACACACACTTCGACGTAAAAAAGTCCACGAGAGTAAAAACCGATGCTTCACACAATGGGTTAGGTGCATCCCTCGAACAACTCCATGAAAACGTTTGGAAAACAGTGTCATTTGCTTCAAGATTTTCAAATCCTCATGAATCCAAATATTCAACAAACGAAATAGAGTTATTAGGAGTTGTATGGGCGGTGGAACATTACAAAAATTATCTCTACGGTTCCGAATTCGAAATTATTACCGACCACAAAGCTCTCCTTTCCGCTTTGTCACCTAATCACGGAAACAAAACGTACCATAGCCGATTGACAAGATGGGTAGATCGTCTTCTACCATTCAATTTTACTATCAAGCATTTAGCGGGAAAAGATATGGGTTTTACCGATCTAATTTCAAGAACTCCTTCGGGTAAAGCAATTCCCCCATCCCATTACGACGAAGAATTCGTAGTTGCAACTACCGAAAAACTATATAATGCACTCAATCCTTTGGATAATGAAAATCCATTACGTAATTCAATTAATTCAATTTCGGAAAATTCCCAGTACACGAAATTACGAAATCACTAATAATTACAGCATTGAATTTCGTCAATTCTTCCATCTCAATCTGCAATCAAAAACACTATAGAACAGAATTTTGTAACTCTAAATGTATTCCCTCGGATTTCTCAAGCACAGATTCTACTAAAATCCTTCTATCAAATTCAGCCTTTATTTATTTTTTAATTATTAACAGTAGCTTAATTAGTAATCCTTCGGATTTCAAACTTATAAATAGTAAATATGTCAAATAACCAAATTGTAGTAAATCCTTCCACTTCCGGGATACAGGTCTCTATTGATTTCCAAATTTCCTCAGAGCACAAAAAGTTGATAACTAAATTTCGAGAAAACCTCAAGTTACCTGAAAGACCTTTGGATTTAAATACTTTATTCAATGCAAAGTTGGTTGCTTTATTAACGGAAGATGATGAGATGTTAAACCCAATCGTGAAAGCTTTACAGAAAAAAGTAGAAAACATCAACGCAAATTCCCGTTACTTACACCAATTTTCGAAAGACCTCCATGAATCCGACGGACTATTATATATGGATGGAAAATTGGTTATTTCGTTTACACTTAGAAACGCCGTTTTAAAAACTTTACACGAATCACACCCTGGCCAATTCGGTATGAAATACCTGGCACAATATATTTGGTGGCCACATATAAACCGACAATTTTATTTCCACGGGATTAATTGCACACAATGCACTCAAACTGGTAAGAATATAAAAAGCATCATACCAACTACACAAATTAGCGAACTCCCCACTTTATTTGAACCAAATGAGGAATTAAACCTTGATTTTGCCGGTCCATTAGATAACAACTGGGGAAACAATAAATACATCTTATTATGTATAGATCCTTTTTCAAAATTCCCATCAGCAAAAATTACTTCTTCAACGTCATCAAACACGGTAATCGAATTCCTTCAAGATTATTTCTATCTCCATGGGTTTCCTAACTCCATTCGTGTTGACCACGCATCCTGTTTTACTAGTCAGGATTTTAAATTATTTTGCAATTCTCATAATATCAAATTAATATTTTGTACAGTTGGGGATCATCGTTCTAACGGTCTTGTAGAAAAACTTGTTCATACTGTAAAAATCAAATTATTAGCAATGTCTTTGGAACAACAAAAACCTACATTACAAATTGCCATTTCGAAAATCATTTGGAATTTACGATCTTCCTTCCAATCAAAAATAAAATGCTCACCGTTCGAAATACACTTTAATAGAAAACCGAACACGATCTGGAAGCAATTGGCATCTAATAAATTATCCGGTGGATTTTTAGACAAAGGGAAGTCGATCTTAAGCAGAGAAAGGGCCCTTGACTGGAATGCTGACGATCGGATAGAGGACGGATACAAAGACCTTCTAGTACCGAAAAAGAACCAGTCACCATTGGAGAAAGGCTACGACTCAGACCTTCCAACAACCTCAAAACCTTCATCTTCTCGAGTGGCCTTAAACAGTCCGTTTAGAGGTAATTTACTACGAAAAACCAACGGAAGTATAAACGGAAATCCCTTCTATAAACAACTAGGTCAGAAAATAATAAACTCAACAAAATCCACGGTTGAACTATCCGACGGAAAAATCATTAATAAATCGGACATCGCCATCCCAAAGTCTAAATCCTCTACAATTCATTCATTCAAAGGAAATATCTCATTTCCCTCTTTTTCTAACAGTGATTTACAAGTAGGTCCAAGAAAGACAAACAAAGCGAAGACACAACAGACGCGGAAACCAGACACTATGACAGGACGACACACAGAGTCTTTCACCCCGGTCACCACCAGATCTAGAGGAACGAGACAGCCTACTAAATTCAACAAACCGAAGCGAAACCGAAATAAAGCCTCGACTTCGAACACAGGATACTTAGCAGGTGACGAATCCATGTTCATTCCGTCGGATACGTCGGACATTAGTGATTGGGAATGGATTGCGGGAGGTTTTCCATGCAGAGAAATGATACGAAAACGCTTCATTTCAGATAACCTCAATTTTAACGAAAACCCTTCCCCACCATTAGCTCCTCAAACATATCAAACTAATATAAAATCTGAGATTTTAGACGAACAACTTCAATCTACAGATACAGCGGAATGCCCAATTAGTATAAAGCCAGCACCTCAATCTACCTCACACACACCTGGCGAATCTTCTACCGCTACGAAAACAGAGGGCCCAAACATTCCTTCGGATTCAACAAAAGCATTGGAAGGAGAAAATCCGGTGGAATTCCCAGTCTTTGAGATAGAGGACTCCTCTAACGAAAGTGCAAATAGTGAGGAAAGACATTCTAAGGAAATCACTACCACCGGTAACGAATTTAAATTAAGACGTTCAAGTCGAAATGTTGGTCCCCCACAATTCTATGGTAAGCGATATTACATAGATATTATAGACGAGTGCGAAAACCAATCAGGCTCCGCGAATAACCCTATATCTCTGGACGAAGGCGACAGCTCGGGATTCCCCACTCTAACCTTCAGAGAGAATCCCTCGGAGAACCAGACTCACATTTGCGACACTCTACCGGAGGACCGTGCACCGGGCCCAGCGTACCCTTCATCTCCTGATCAATTCTCCATCGCTTCTACTGACGAATCCCTGAGAGATGCGGTGAACAATTTCGACAACTACATCTACTTAGACAGTGAAATTTTTAACGCTGAGCTAGAAAAATTCATGGAAGGGGACAGCTAAACTAAATCAAAAACTTGAAAACTCACATTTAGTCATTATACCGTACTAGTGTTTCGTTTCAGCGCAGTTAGAGTTTACCTTCTTATAACTAGGGATTATAATCCGCCGGAATTAGAAATTATATCATTCTTTCTAATTCAGTCATTCCTTCGGAGCACTAAAATTTCATTTGTGATATTGCACAGTATTTAATTTTCAATCCTTGTTGGACTTCTCGAGAGGGAGAAAAAGGGTTAGATAACATGTTATGTATCATGGCGCTTAATACTTTAATTTTTTTTCCCACTAAGGGGAATGTTACGAATCTTACTATTCGTCTTATTTCATTTAATTAGTTTTAAAGTTTCTTAACTGGTTAATTTAGATATGACCTTGTTATCTTCATTCTCTCCGACGGAGAGAATGACCGCTCACTTTTTAATGTTTTAATTTAGAGATTAATTCACTTTTTAAACATATCTTATTTGTAACTAAGTAGAATTATCCGTAACAAAGAAACATTTTATCAAGTTCCGACTGTTTTTAGTTCTGTTAATCCATATCGAAAAGAAAAGAGTATTAGACAAAAAATCAAGTGTATAAATTTGAGTCCTATGAAATTATTATGGCCGATTAGCTAGCCTCCATTCAATTAGGAACGATTATATTGTGCGCGATAAATCGCCACGCATAAATGATTCGCCTTGCGCTTTCAGCATTGTGAATAAAATCTTCGTAAGCGCGCATGAATTAGTCCAGAGCATGGCCATTGTGGCAATTTTCAAACTCTCAGAACTTTGCAAAAAATGATCGGAGGTAAAAAAGTTTTTATATTTGATTTCAGTGACTCAATATCTTCAATGGGGAGTAAAAATTTTGTCATAACTTATTAATTCGATCGCCGAAAATTGACTGAATAAAAAAATCAACCCAAGCATAAATATTCTGTTTTCTTCGAAAGTCGGAACAATAAACTAAATTTCTGGCCTCAATTCAAATTGAAATGGATTATTTCATCGCTTACGCGCGTTATAAAAAATGCAGCACATCATTTTTTAAGTCAATTTTTTCTTCGCAGTTAATCTATTTTTTTCCCTCGAATTTTTTCATATTTTAGTTAGAAAACTAGCAGGGGGTAAATGTTGAAGGGGTAACGTTTGTAAATAAGTATGCAAGTATGTTAAGGAAAATGATAGGTGGCCAAAAAAGCTCTTAAGAAAAATTTTTGATTGAAATTTATTTGATTCAATTAAAACGATTTGAGAAAACTGCATCAATGGGTTTTTTTATTCCGCTGGCAATCTGAAAACTAAATTTTATTTTCAAAACTAAAATTCAATCACGTTTTTTAATGAACTTTAAGCTTTTGCTGTTCGATAGTGAAGTTTGCCTTCCTTTTAACAAAGGAAAAGAACTGAATTATAAAACCAAAGGCCAAACCTCAAAAAGGTAGATTCGAGAATAACAATTCTCAGCACTTTTCTTGAAAAAAGTATCCTTTCATTTTTCATTTTCATAGCAAATGCCCAAGAAACTCATTAAAAATCGAAGTTTTTTCCTTTTTATTGAAATGCGGGCAAACATGCAAATTAGTTTGCCTGTTTTTAACTAAAATTGGTAATCTGCTGTTCAATTAAAAAAAATTTCTCTGTGACTTCATTTTTAAGTCAATTTTTTCTTCGCAGTTAGTCTATTTTTTCCCTCGAATTTTTTCATAATTTAGTTAGAAAACTAGAAGGGGGTAAATGTTGAAGGGGTAACGTTTGTAAATAAGTATGCAAGTATGCGGGGGCGGCTATCGATTACTTTTTTTTCGAGGGGAAGCATTTTTCAGGTCGACCAATTCAAAATCTTTTTTTTAAGACAACCAATCGTTTTGAATTTGAAATAAGTGAAGGTTTAAAAATTGAGCAAGCCGTACTGTCAGATAGTTTTACAAAATTTCTGCATTATTAATTTGATATATGCAGAAATTGTTGCAAAATTTTGCGCAAAAAGCAATCTAGTCGGAAAAAAAAAACATTTTAATTGACTTTAAACTGATTATAATAAATTTCAAACTTGATAAAACAACGTATTGTAATCAATTCTTAATTCATTTTGTTGTCTGAGGGCAACAGGGGAACCGACTTTAGCGAAAGCATTTTAGACCGCAAAAATTCATAACAATTGATTCTTTTCTCTATGCTTAGATGCGGGTGTTCAACAAAGAGTTAGAAAAGTCTTAAAGAAGAAAACTGAAAAAAAATTGATTGAAAATTTCCCAAAATTTTTCATTTCGTTCATTAATCCCGTTAAGAGAAAAGTAGATTGATGAGTAATTTTTTTATTCCGCTATGATATCTGAAAATTAAAGTTCATTTAGAAATTAGAAGACAATCACGGTTTTTGTGATCTCTGCATTTTTGCTGTTTGATAGTGGCGTTTGCCTTCCGTTTAACAAAGAAAATTTACCCACGACTTTTAACTTGAAATTTACCCTTACGATCTTTTACACTTAAATTTTACATTTAAACATAATAAATCAAACTCCGATACCACTGCAATGAAATACATAACATTGAGGTCTGAATCTCGAAAATCAGCCATGAAAAAATAAGCCAAATTGGAAAAAGTGTATTAACATGCAGTTTTTTAGATTGCTGTCTGTGTGAACTTTAAAAGTTTAAATCTACTTATGAAGCTATAAGCGAGGTACGGATTTAGATTTCCATGAATAAGAGATGAATTCAAACACAAATCAAAAGCAAAATTTCAAACTGACCGAAAATATCACACAAAAACATAAGGCCGACGATCGAAATAAGTTAAAACTCAATTCGTTCATTAACACTTAAAATGATATCTGACCTCATCGCGGGGTTGTCCTCTCCTTCAGCTGGCTCGAATTGGATCTCGACTCTGCCGACATCTCCGGCGATGTCCTGGGTGATCATGCTGGTGACACTCCCGGCCGAGGGGCCAGTCCTGACCTCGTCAGTCACGCCAGGCGACACCAGAGTCTCACTAGTTGCGGGACAGTCGAATGTTGCTCGCACTTTAACACAGCATAATTAAAAGGCTATCAGAAGTTGAAGAGTTTGAAGAGACTATTTTCAAATAATAATAATGAAGCTACAGAAAATTTTTTAGAATAATTCAAGTCAAATTAGCAGCTCCAGATAAATATGCTTTGTTTTCATATAAGAACCATTCTCGTCAAAAATTTAAAAAGGCCAAATTTGAGATAATTAAAGTGGAGCAAACCTTTAGGGAAAAAAAAGCTTGCGGTTATAATTTTGAAAAATATTTTAAAAAACTGTTGCTGAGAACTTACTTTTTTGCACTTAGATTTAATTGTACTTTTTTGATTATATAATCGCTTATTAAAAAAAGTTTGCTTCTGTAACAGTTTTCCACTTTTTGTGGTTATCATTTTGCACTCTTTCTTCGGACCACGTTGTGACTAATGCAATTGTTGTGAGAAAAATAGTTATTACTTAACCCTTATTTAGCATAATTTAGATCCCCTCCCAAAAAAGGAAGCTGTAAGATATCCCGAACATTGAAAAATTGTTGAACTTTTTAATTTTTGGCTGTTCATTTGTTTTTTTGATTTTATAACAGAAATTGTTTACATTCCATGCATGATATATAACTTTTGGGCATAACATTTTGGATAATTTCAGCACACTATACCACATTTATTAATTCACGATGTCGGAAGGAACTGTGCTAGTAATGGTTTTTTCCAATTTTGATCCTTAGAAAAGTCTAGAGATTTGGCAATCATTTGGGTTCCAAAAGTTGTCTCAATGTCGAGAAAGTGGTCTGAAAACTTTGTGAAAACTTCCTGAATTTTATTTTTGCTTTTTAACTTCATTAAGCTATTATTACCTCTTAAATTTATTCTTAAATTTTCAAATTTAAATAGAACACCTCTTCATAAAAAAACCGTTTTCTTTTTTATGAACTTCCTTTCGAAATATTCTGGGCCGAATTCTGTGCTACTTGCACAGCAACCAGCTCTACTTGTATTTATTTTCTGCATATGAATTCAATCTAACACCCACTTCGTGTATATAAAATAAAATCAAGGTACGATTTTTTGTGATTGCACTAATCAAGGAAACTAGCAGTTTAACCTGTCACTAAAGTTCAATCCAACAGTTATTGAAAAAAAATTCCAATTCTGAAAAATCGGACTAATATAATCATTCTTTTACTATCACGAAAAGACGGTGTCTCAATCTCCTTCTTTATCATGATATTTTACCAGAAAATAATAAGGTTTTTCTAAAATAGATTTTTTTGAGCGGGTTGATAATGAAAAAAGTCTATTTCTGTTGTGATTCAGTATTTTTAGTATGTTATAACCTTGACCTCTATTATCTAATTACGTACCAGTCAATGTTAACTCTACGAAGTCCAGTGGACTTCGACTCACTAGTTGCTCTTTTTAGACTACAGTCGGTTTTAATTCAACCAATACTTTTATTCTCTTTTAACTTAGTTAGATATAATAGCTACCAGTGGTACATCTTAATTCTTTATTATGGCGCAGTCAACAACTGATTCGAACTTGAGGGGAATACCCACCTTTTGGCCGAACCACACGGTTGAACCCCCCACCCAATGGAACAATTGGATAGACCAATTCCATTTGGCCATTATCGCGAAGGAAAATCTAGACTTAGACAACCTTAAAGAACCAATGGAAGGGGAGTCGACGTTACCGATCCTAGAAGGTGCCCAGGAGTCAGAAACTGACCAACAGAGGAAAGCCAGGGAGGCCAGGAACAAAGAAACAATGCGAGTCTATGAACACGCTGAAGAGAAAAGACTAGCAGAAGAAAAGAGGAAATTCGGAGGAATGAGGAGATACGAGGCCGATAAAAAAGTAAGGTCAATCCTATACTTGGCCTTAGGAGCGGAAGGCAAAAGAGTTTTCGCCCAGAAACATCCAAGGGTAAAAATCCTAGGAATCTCATTCAAGGAATTTTACGAAATGCTAGAATTGGCTTTTATCAAACCAACCAACATAACATTTGAACGATACAAACTATTGAGCAGGAAACAAAAGGATAGAGAATCCTATGAACAATTTTGGGGCGCGTTATCAGACTTGGCGAGATCATGTGAAATTGGAATTAATGCAGAACAGGAGTGGATCAGAGACGTATTTATTTTTAACATGAAAAACTGCGACTTACAACGTAGACTACTTTCAGAAACTCTCAATCCATTGGATGCACTAAACCAAGCAATAATTGACGAAAAAGGCTACTATTTCGAAGCCTCTACTACCCGTCAACAACATATCACGCCCAGAGTTGTGTAAGTTAAATAATTATTCAGATACGACCCCTAATCTGTATCATAGGTACAAAGGGCTATTTAACAGAGTGGGAAAAATACCTTCGGACAGAAAAGTTACTCATTTCCATTCCCCATTCAAACCTATCCAAACCAAAGGTAGAAGAGTTCCCTTACATCTACTCGATAACGTAAAAATGGAACTAAATAGAATGGAAAAAGAGGGGCATATCATAAAGTTGAACAAATGCGACGAAGATTGTTTTATAAGCCCAATTGTGATTACAAGAAAAAAAGACGGTAGTATCAAGTTGGCACTAGAATCGAAACTATTAAATAATCAGATATTCAAGAACAAGTACCAGATGCCAAACATACATGAACTGATCGATAATATTGCTCTTCAACTGTCAAGCAAAGATTCAGGGGAAGTTTGGTTTAGTAATCTAGATCTAAAGAACGCTTACAGCCAACTACAATTATGCACAGACACTAGCAAACAGTGTAACTTAAGTATCGTGGGGGGCGAAACCACTGGAACCTACAGGTTTTTAACTGGATTTTACGGATTGGGCGATATGCCAAACGAATTCCAGAGGGTAATGGATTCTTTACTGAAAAACATTCCTTTTACAAATTGTTATATTGACGACATTTTAATAGCTTCGAAAGGTTCATTAAATCATTAAATGAACACAAAGCGATACTAACTAACATTTTAAACATTTTGGACAACAAGAACATGGCGGTAAAATGGGAGAAATGTGCATTCTTCCAAAAAGAAATAGAGTGGCTAGGTTTCAAGATATCAAAATCGGGCGTGAAACCATTGGTGGGAAAGTCAGATTCGATTAAAAACCTACCAAACCCCATAAACATATCTGAACTTAGGTCTTTCTTTGGATCGATCAATCAATATAGGAAATTCGTCCCGAATTTGTCCGCCCTAAGTTCCCCCCTACGACCACTTCTTGTAAAGAAATCAGTCTACCAATGGAATGACGAACATACTAAAGCATTTGAAGAATTAAAACAACAGATAGTGAAGATAACAGAGAACAACCACTTCGACATAAAAAGGATGTCAAGACTAAAAACAGACGCTTCCCATAACGGCTAAGGAGCTACCCTAAAACAATGGGATGGAGAAAATTGGGTAACAATAGCATTCGCCTCCCGATTTTTGAACAACCACGAAAGTAAATATTCTACAAATGAACTTGAGTTGTTGGGAGTAGTCTGGGCTACAGAACATTTTAAAAATTACTTGTACGGTGCCGAATTTGAAATTGTGACGGACCATAAGGCATTATTATCAGCATTAAATGCAAACCAGAGCAACAAAACTATGCAGAGCAGATTAACCCGTTGGGTAAATCGACTGTTACCATTTAATTTTAAGATCAAGCACATTCCGAGAAAAGAAATGGGATTTACAGATTTACTGTCGAGACTACCTTCAGGTAAAGCACTCCCTACATCACACTACGATAGCGAATTTGTAGTGGCGACAGTACAAAAGATTAAAGAAAACCTCTCTGTAAATAACGAGTGTAAAAAGAATAGTTGTAAAAAGAACGAAGTGTATTATCCATTGGATGTAAATACGATTAGTAACTTGGATTGCAATAATCCAATGGGTGGAAAGAAAGATTTATCACAAAGCATCCAACGGTCGTTCTTCTCGATTATTCTGAATTACGTAAACGACACTATCAGAATTTGTAATTCCAATCACTCGCGTTCAGAGTCTTGCACAAGCGGTTGTGATCCTTTAAACTTATCAAAATTTGATTTCAATTACTTTTACCTATCAGACAAAACTTTCTTATTTTTTCTTGCCCAATCAGTATTATTATTCAATCAGTCATTAAATTCAGATCAAGAAAAACAATTACAAGAATTTATTACATCAGTCAACTTGTTAAAAATTTCCCTCAGGGCAGAAAAGAAAGGAATCTTCTTGAACTTTAATAACGACACAATGTCAGACATACACAAAAAATTGTTGGCCAAATACAAGGGAGATCTCAGATTGCCAGGCAACCCGTTATCACTATCAGACCATTGTTCGAATAAGCTGATTAAACTCATGACGGACGAAGACAAAATCCTCAAAGAAGTAAAGAAGGCGGTACACGAAGGCAAACCATTGGATAAATTCGGAGCCTACTTAAAGAACTTCCAGAGGGATATACATGTGAAACAAGGGCTGTTATTCAACGATATTAAACTGATAGTGCCGGCTGCATTACGATCACCTTTCCTGTCACTCCTTCACGAGACTCATCCAGGGCAGTTTGGGATGAAAGCCTTGGCAGAAAACAATTGGTGGCCACATCTATACAGAGAGATATACCATCATGGAAAGAATTGCCCTCAGTGCATAATGGCCGGTAAGAACCTAAAAGTTTTACTAGGGACGAACAAGACTGAGAAATTACCGAACCTGGCCGAACCAAATGAAGAAGTAGATTTAGACTTTGCCGGCCCATTGGACAAGAGCTGGGGTAACGCAAAATACCTCTTGTTATGCATTGACCGCTTTTCAAAGTTCCCGTCGGCGAAGGTAGTAAACAACACTTCTACTTCTTCAATTTTAACCTTCATGACAGATTACTGCCATCTTCACGGATTTCCAAAGTCCATTAGAGCCGACCATGGGTCATGTTTTACTTCGTTTGATTTTAGAAACTTCTGTGAGAAGAACAACATTAATCTAATTCTATGTACGGTTGGCGATCATAGATCCAATGGAGTAGTAGAAAGACTCATTTACACGGTCAAAGCTAAGCTTCTGGCAATGTCGTTCAACGATCCAAAACCATCCTTAAATACGGCTATTGATAAAATTATTTGGAACATACGCTCGACGAAACAATCATCCATTGGATGCTCTCCGTTCTCAAAACATTTTAATAGATCTCCCAATACGTTCTGGAAATCTTTGGTCTCTCACGCATTTAGTTTAGATAAGGGGAAATCAATCATATCGAAGGACAGAGCACAAGACTGGGGGGCTGATGACGCGTTTGAAGATGGCTACCTGGAAGACAGAACAATTGAGGAAAGAGGCTATGAGAGCGACCCCGCTAACAAAGTAGATAGAAACCTTCAGCGAGCCCCACTGTCGAATCCCTTCAGCCATGGAGGTAACTGGTTTAGGAAAACAGTTAACAGGAGGGAAGGAGAACCTTATTTTAAACCTTTAGGGAGTAAACCTTTGTCAGACATGAAACATACGGTCACATTAGATAACGGACATGTGATAAGAAAATCGGACTTAGCTTTTAACAAAACCCAACCGGCAGCTCCTAAGACCTTCACGGCAAGACCGAAACCGCTAATTAATAGTAATGATTTAGCAGGCAAGCGAAAAAGAAACTCCCCTTGCAAGAGACGAGACTCAAATATAGGAGGCCCATCGATGAACTCCACACCAACGGGTGGAAATTCAAGCAAAAAGAGGAGATCATTCTTCACGAACTCGAAAGGTTCAAAATTCGACTATAATAATCTAGATTCGTCGTTAACGTTAGACCTTTGGGATAAAGTCATTGACGACTACTTGGGTACGGAATCGGAAATGGTATATAATACACCAACTGTTAACCTACATAGTGATTTAGATCAACCAAGGAGTACCATACAAAGCCAGACAAACACTGAGACAACATTCAATATACCAACGGGCACAAGCGACGACCCAATTCGAGTGGATAGCTCCCCGGAGAAGACAGTGGAGACACCAAAAACCCCGATATCTTCAAAACATCGTGTAAGAAGAAACCCAGGACCCCCGAAATTCTTTGGCGAAAGACGGTTCATCGACCAAGTGACACTCGGTACGGAGACCATTAGTGCAGTAGACTCCGATGACGAACCACTTATTACGTTTTCCGGTGCAAAGAGCCCGAAACAAATTCCTTCATTCTGTACGACGTCTCCCTCGGATTATCTTACACCCATTGACGAGATCCCACGTCATACGATTTTGGTTGCTGAAACCACTCAAGACGAGTTCTCAACACCTTCCTCTCAGGCGACAAGGACCGCATGGGTATCGCCACCATTGGTAGAAGGGACCAGTAATACTCAGGATGACATCGATAGCGACATATCCTCGGGCATCGATACCGATGTAAGAATAGAGGCAGATAATTTCCATACTAGATACAACTCTACGGTCTCAAACTCTGAAAACTTTTAAACTGTGGTAACACGACATGTTACGTATTTGACTTAGCTTTTATCCATTGGATACCCAGAACTTTTTTTTTGTTTTATTATTTACCTAGTTAGTGAGTTAGTTAGTTTGCTTTAATTGTACAAATGCTACATAACCCCAATTGTTCATATCATTTTGTACATTCAGTGTTGATATCTGTGTAAACCTGTAAGTAGCCTGTATATATTACCATATAATTAACTCCATTGTAATTTTTACTCTCTGTAAAAATCCATTGGTGCTAAATGCGGTTACGTTTTGTTTCTTCTTTGGCCCTGGTGGAGCGAGGGGAGATGGAGTATATGTGTGATATTGGCTACATCGTTGAGCGGGCAGATATTAATTTTTGTGCACTGGGGAAGGTTGTGATTCAGTATTTTTAGTATGTTATAACCTTGACCTCTATTATCTAATTACGTACCAGTCAATGTTAACTCTACGAAGTCCAGTGGACTTCGACTCACTAGTTGCTCTTTTTAGACTACAGTCGGTTTTAATTCAACCAATACTTTTATTCTCTTTTAATTTAGTTAGATATAATAGCTACCAGTGGTACATCTTAATTCTTTATTAATTTCAAAGATAACAAAGTTTTAATGGATATTTTTCTGATCATTTACCTCTTAGCTGGGTACTTAATTTGACTACTTTATTTGACTACTCGTTATACAAGCCAGTAGGTTTATGAGCGTCTTGATTAAGGCTAAGGAGTTTGGTTATGTTCACGCACTATTTGAGTTTTGTATGTCAAATACCAGAATTGAATTCAAACTGAAATCATAATTTTTCTATTGGCATGAGCAGAAAACTGATTGCTACTAAACCCTCTAAAGTGACCACAGATGAGGGGGGGAGGTCTGTGATGTTGAACTGTGACGTAGAGCCTATGTTTTGCCATGTCATGTCGAAGTTGTGTCTGAATTCGTATGTCACTCCTGACGGATTGACACTGTTGTCGAACTGCATGAGAACTGCCACTGGGTGGATCAATGTGAAGTTCAAGTCACTCACTGGACAGGGCTCTAAGAAAACCAAACAATCTCAAGCATCTTCGTTTAACTCAAATTCAAATATTCAAACCTTAAGTCAAATTAACAGCCTGACCAATTTCCGCTGCTAAAGTGGTACCGCCTGAAAGGTCTAGACGCAAAAAATGGCCTTGAGTCGCAAAAAAGAGCTTCAGCTTAACAAAATAACAGTCTGGAATGTGGGAAGATAAAACAAATGGACTATCCTCGACAAGACAGGAAGCACATTATTATTATATATTGATCAGGGGCAGATTTAGGGAGGGGGGCGGACGCATCCTCCTCAGGGATTCGACTCCCTGCCGACCCCAAAAGTCCCCCCTTAGTATTATTTTGAAATATCCATTTTTGGTGACGGACCCTAAAAATTTTCTAAAGCAGGCGCCTTGGGCGCCAAAATATATTAGTTTTGAGGGGGGAGCGCGCGCCGAAAAAGCGCAATTTTTTGGTCAACATTTTCAAAAAGTGCCTAAAAACGCCTTTTTTGGCCTGTTTTTTTTTCTTCAAATTTTGCCTGTGGCGCAGAAATTTTGGCCCAAACAAGGACTTTTTAAAATTCGCCATCCCCCTGCTCGAGAAAATCCTAGGTCCGCCCCTGTAAACAAACGTGACAACGATTCCCCTTTCTTAAAAACATCACCAAAGCTCGGATCTCTTTACCTATTTGCACAAGGGGGAGCGGGGGTGAGACTCTCTACAGGGTAAAAAATTTTAATATGCGTTGAATTATTTCTTTATAGTGGGATATTCGTTACTAGGTACGATAGGGGGATAGTTAAAGATTACCAAAACTCTTGTATACTTAAGCGTTCAATTAATTTATGTTTAACAGGGTTAGTTTTTTTCCTTCTTTTTGGTTGCATATTGACAGCATCAATATTCAGCCGACCAAAACCTTTCGAAGGGCGCGTTGGGTGCTAGTTTTCAGCGTGAACAAAAAATTTTAGAAAAAACTTCAAAGCAATAATCAAAAGCATGCAGTTTGGTCAGTCCAACAACAGATTCAAATATTTGAAAATCTATCCCCCCGAAAAAAGCTAAGATCAATAAAAAATATATAAAAATACCACAAACGACGCTGTGAAAAACGAGTCTTCATTTGCTTTGACACAGGGGGAATATAGGTTGTTCTCGAGTGGGAGGGGGGGGGGGGGGGGTCAACCAAAATAAGTTTAAGGTCATCCAAAATAAGTTTCCGAACACTCCCGGAACACTATAAAGACCCTATTTTGACCAAAAATTTTGCACCGCAGGAAAATTTTGAAAAATAGGTCAAAGCGCTTGTTTTTGGGCACTTTCTGGGCAGATTTTTTGGTCCACCATGACTTCTAAAACCTCTAAAACACTTTTGAGACTTCAAATCAATTTCGGTGATTTTGTGCCATTAGCTTTCGTAATAGGCGAGCGTTAATTGCCCTAATTTCTATTTTAAAGTGAGCTTGAATTGAACTCAAAAAGAAATCAAACAGCAGAACATCAAATTTAGAGCGTGAACAAGTTCTCAAAATCACAATTGAAGCATGTAAAATTATATAAAAACATAAAAAGTTTTAAATTTTTTTTTGTCAAGACCGCGCAACCTAAACGAAAATTTATTTTGTTCGTCATTACTCCGAAAATGTTTACTTGATTTTTTTTTGACAAAACATAATTAAAGGGTGTTTTTGGCTCCTCCGCACCTCCCCCTGCGAACTCCAATAGGTCAAATTTCTATTCACAATGTTCGATAGCTACCAAAATTGGTTGTGCGGACTTATAAGGACAAGGAAATCATCTTTGTTCTTCTTACTCACTTTTTTTGAAATCCTTTGTAAAGTTGATGCTTATATGAGAATAAAAAAAAGGTCCGTATTTTTGTCCAGCTCAATTTTTAACAGTTAGTACATAATAATTTTCCTAAAACAATGAGCGCCGGTTCTCGTCGCAATTAAATTCGAGTGAAAAAGTATTTTCGGCTGAAAAAATATGACCCCGGGCCTGACTGGCTAGCTAATGAGCTGTCTACTTACTAGCACAGTCGCAGATGGGTCCATTCAACGAGTTCCCATTCCACTGGCCCACGAATGCCTGGATCTGCAGACAGTCTTCAGCCGCACAACTGCCGAAGTCGAACACGTAGGGCATAGAGTCGAACGTGCGATTAGCCACAAAGCCGAAATTGTTGCTCGTGATCCTAAAAAACGCCAAAAAGATATTTACAGATAATTTTATTTTAAAAATAATAAAATGTTTTCATTTTGAAGTTGTGATATGAACTAATGTAAAAATATATGTTCTTTAAACATAGCGAACAGACAGTTGGAAAAGAGTCAAAGATCGCAAGTAAACAGAAAAAATGTACTGACTTGTTTTTTTTTTGTAAATTTCGACTTTCAACACAGAGGCGAAGCTGAGCTTCGCACCACTTGCGATACAAAACGAAAACAAAATCGAAAGGTCAAAAAACTTGATCTATTACAATGAACAAGGTTAGTTTATAACAACTACACGACAAGACAATATAAAGTGTAATAAGCATCGGAAGAAAATGCACCCACCGGTAATAAAGCCAAAAATACATTGTCAGAAACCCTTTAAGCCGAAAAAAAAATCAACACGAGTTCAGACTTCTGAAAAACTAATAAGTCCACCTCACCTTCAAAATAGTTTATATGCCCGTCAAAATAACCAATAAGAGGATATTAAGCCGAAAAACATAGGCCGAAAACTTTTATGCCCCAAAAAAAGGAAAATGAAGAAGCCGAAAAAATCAAAAAAGATTTTGAAGTTATCAAGTCACTTAAACTATATTTCTATTAAGAATTTTATCATTTTGCGTAATCCAGACAGGAGAATCAAAAAAACTTTTCCGCTGAAACGACTCGAAATTAGGCCAAAAAGCCGATAATAGTTAGGCCGAAATCAATTGGACAAAATAAAATTTTTAAACAAATGAAAAAATGATATATATATACGAAGTCAAATTTAGTAAAATTACTGACAGCAGAGGTAAACTAGAAGCAACTATAATGTGATAAAAATTCTACAAAATGGCAACTAAGCCGACTATGGCAACTATTTTCCGTTTGAAAGAACAAAAACAGGTTAAGTCAGTTTCGAACCCAAGACTTTTGGCATCCCAGGCGTTTTCGTTAGCTACAGACAGGGTTTGGCGGAGAAACTTAGAAATTTGAAGATTCCTATTGTTTTAAGTGGTTCTGTTAAACACACTTAGAAATTTGAAGATACCTTTTGATTCAAGTGATTGTGATTCTGTTAAAAAAAGTTGTTAACCCGAAAAAAGTCTATATTCCAGTTTGATAACGCTTGATGACCGCAAACTTAAAGAAACAGATATATCAAAGCTCTTTGAGTTTGAAGAACAATTTATGTTCAACAATTTTTTATTAAAGTTAATCCAACTTGAGAAAACTGGGCAATAAGTAAAATTTTTATTCCGCCGGTTTTTTGAAAATTTGAATTTTTTTCTAAATAGAAATTTATGTGACCTTTACACTTTTGCTGTTCGATAGTGGAGTTAGCCATCCGTTTAACGGATCTAGGATTTTCTCGAGGGGGGGGGGGGAGTGATTTTCAAAAAATTTCCAAAAGTTAGTCGACTTTTATTTCTTTAGGTCGACCAAATTGATTTTCCGAGCTCTCTCAAAGCCTTAAAAAGACCCCCTATTTTGACAAAATTTTTGAAAAAAGGGCAAAAAAGGCGTTTTTAGGCACTTTTTGGAAAAATTTTTACTAAAAAAAACGCGTTTTTTCGGCGCCCGCTCTCCTCTTAAAACTTGTATATATTGGCGCCGAAGACTCCTTTAGAAAACTTTTAGGGTCCGTCAGCTAAAAATGGATATCTCAAAATAGTTCAAAGTGGGGACGTTGATTTGAACGTGATATAAAAAAAAAGAAATATGTCGTGGTGCACTGCGGCTAATTTTCAACTAAGCAAGACAAACAGTTTAATTTGTTAAACATGGGTTTCAGAAACTTTCAGTAAACTTATATTATAGGGGGCCTTAATTGAAGAAAAAGAATCAAATTGTCAAAAACCTGCACTTGCTAATTTTTAAACATCTAATGCAAAAAAACGTAGAAGTCACGGATCTCCCTTTTTCTACTCAATTTTTTGCCTTTTCCCGAAAGAAAAATCGCGATTTAAAAATAAGCTTATAGTACTTCTCGAATTCATGTATCCACATACATGTAAAATTTCACGATCGTCCGATTAATATCGTAGGTGGAGTTCGATCAGAGACAAACACACACAAACACACACACCCACACGCATACACAAAAACACATCCACGCACAAGCTTCTTTATTTTAATGTACAGATAAACATACGTGTATTTAGTCAGCGCATTTCCTTTGTCGACACTGAACTCCGAGGTCTTGTAGGAGCGTCTCCCATCCATTGACATGTTGAAAGTATCGATGCCAGCTTGGACTTCCAGATACACTTTGTCCGAATTCAGATCCCCGGAACTAGGGCAGTTTTGAATCGAGTAGATGGAGTACTCGTCGGTAGCCAGTTCGGTTAGCGACACGTTCAGTTCCAGCGTCGCAGCACTCGCCACTGGAATTGGAGAGGTACCGAGGGAGTCGACGACATAGCTGTCAATCCTGCCGACGTCCGCCGCATTCGACCAGGTCAACGTTGCCGTGACTCCGTCCACCAATGTGTATTCGAAGTCAATCGGTGCAAGTTGGTAGGTACACGCCGAAATCGAAGTACTAGCGGCACTTTTCAGGGTCGCACGGGTGGCGAAGAGTTCGAAGCTGTATTGAGTTCCTGGTGACAGGGATCTGATGGTCATGGTTGGCTGGGCATTCGTCGGTACCTCGGGTCCCCCGTCCACCGAGATAGTATAAGTGTGGATGCTGTTTCGAACGAACTCGAGTTGAATCTTAGTCGTACTGTAAGGTTCGGCCTGAAACGAAGCAAAGAATTTTGTACCAACAAAAAATTTTCTTTTATCGTTAAGCAAAAATCACACGGAAAATGAATATTACAACCATTTTTCAACTTCTTTTTTCAAAAAAGTTCATCCTATCACACTTGTTTGATCGTTAAATTGCTCACTGGATCCCATATCAAACAGCTATAAAAAATTCATTGAACTCCAAAAACTGAAAAACGGATTGATTTTCTTCTCAAAATTTTTTTTAGCTTTTGACATCGAAAGAAAAATTTTTTATCAACTTTGATGTGATTCTCACTGCGAAGTTTGGTGTGATCCTACTGCAACTATTACGTAATCTGCTAACAGGTCAATTACTTATGATCTTCACTTTGCCATTCTCTCCGGCGGAGAGAATGCTCTCTTCACTTTTTAATGTTTTAACTTTCGACTAATTCACTTTTATTCTTTTCTTCTTTTTAATTGTATAAAGTAGATTTACCAACAAAGTATTATTTTATCATTGCGCAGTCAAATAAAGAATCTAACGTGAGAGGAATACCTCCATTTTGGCAGTTTTATACTGTAGATCAAGCGATTCCCTGGGAAGACTGGAGCGATCTTTTTCATTTAGCTATTATCGCTAAAGAAAACATAGATATTGAAAACCTATTATATCCTTCGGAAAGACATCATCCACAACCTCCAACTTTGGAAAATCCGACGGACAAAATCAAAGAAATTCGAGAATCGACAGAAACATACAAGAACAAAGACGTTACGATGAGGAGGAAACGGCATCCATTAAAACAGAAACCAAAAAATTTGATGGAATGAGAAAAGAGGAAGCCGATAAAAAATTACAATCAACCTTGTACCTAGCTCTAGAAAACGAAGGAAAAAGAATCTTCGGAGAAAAACTCACGAAGGTAAAAATCCTACAAACTTCATTTAAAGAGTTTTAAGAATACCTAGCAACCGCTTTCGTCAGGAAGATAAATGTCACATTCGAACGGCACAAATTGTTAAATCGAAAACAACGGGACAGAGAGTCACGCGAACAATTTTGGGGAGCCTTAGCCGAAATGGCCAAAAAGTGTGACATAGCCGCTGGATAAGAGGAATGGATCAGGGATATCTTCATAAACAACATGAAAAATTACGACATCCAACGAAAACTCTTAACCGAAACTCTACCTCCACGAGAAGCACTTAATGTAGCAGTCGTTGACGAAGAAGGAATTTCAAACCACCTGAAACTCACAAATAATTTTAAATCCAACGGATCAGCTGTACATAAACCGCACAGCTATTTTACTGTTAAAAGAGAACCAACTCTGAATATAGAAAGAAGTAACACCTGTATGAAATGTGGCGGAACCTTTTCGAAAAGACACTTAGCTGTTTGCCCTGCGAAAGATACTACTTGTACATCCTGTAAACACAGAAGCCATTTTACCAAATTGTGTAAATCTCTTCGCAAAAATGTAAACATTGTAAATACTCAAATTGTAGATAATACAGATTTTACTCCGCCGGATCACCCGGATGTAAATATAAACCAGGTAAATAGAGAATGTTATGGCGTCATAAACGCATGGTCGGAATCTGGACAAAGTGAAAACGACGATTACTCTGTATTAAACGTCACTACAATTTTCGACGACGATGGAAAAGAACTTAAAAAACTGCTGAATATTGGCCTCGGAAAAGAAAACCAAGTAATCTTAAAAATACAAGTGGACTCAGCTAGCCCGATTAGTTTTCTCAAGAAAAACGTCTTACATGAATTGAAGCTTCGAGACCCTTACTTAAAAATCTATCCGGTGGACAAGGCAACCGAAATTTTATACTGCGGATTTAAAGACAACGCCAAAAATATTTCTGGAAAGGTGATACTTCCGATCTTCTCAAACGGTTGGTCACAAGACATCTGTCACTTCTTTTTTTTCTGAGGGACATGAGAGGAACATCCTCGGAAACGACAATCTACCCAAAGTGGGGATAGAAGTTTCACAGAAGTATTTCCCACACTTCCAGAGAAACCAGTCGTTTAAGTCCATAAATTTTATCTCACCAACAGATTAAGAAAAGGAAATCACAATTATCTCTAAAACATTTAAAAATTTATTCCTTCGGATTGGAAAAATAAAAAATCAGATGAAAATTACCCATTTGCATGAACCCTTAAAACCCATCCAACTAAAAGTAAGACGAGTTACCCTACATTTACTGGATTCAGTCAAAACTGAACTTAACAGACTAAAAGACGAAGAACGCATTAAGAAATTAGAAAATTGCCACGAAGATCGTTTTATTAGCCCAATCGTCATTACCTGCAAAAAAGACAAATCGATCAAGTTGGATACGGATTCATAGTGTATTAACAAACAGATATACAAGATTAAATACCAGATGCCAAATATTTACGAATTGGTAGACAATATGACGGCACAAATAGCAAATGGTTCCGGTGGAGAAGTGTGGTTTACAAAATTAGGTTTAAAAAATGCAAACAGTCAACTCGCGTTAGACAAGTTTACCAGCAATCAATGTAATTTTAGTATAGTGGGCGGCAATATTACTGGCATCTATCATATTTTAACTGGCTTTTACGGTTTAGGCGATATGCCCGACCAATTTCAAAGAGAAATGGACTCAACGTTAGGTTGTATATTTTTTTACCAAGTGCTACTTAGATGATATGTTAATTGCATCCAAAGGAATTTTCTTAGACCACAAAAATATTGTGTTAAAAATTTTAAGTGTAAGTTCTTTCAATAGAATGGTTGGTATTTAAAATCTCAAACTCAGGAATCTCCTCTTTATTTGACAAAACGAAAGCAATAAAGAACTTACCTATTCCAAAAAATCTGAAAGAATTGAGATCATTTTTTGGATCTATAAATTAGTACATTAAATTCGTTCCGAACTTAGCTTACTTAGGAAGCCCACTACGACCTCTGCTAAAAATAAATCGATCTTCCAGAGGAGTTCAGACTATACAAAAGCATTTGAAAAAATCAAACAAGAAATCATCAACCTCACGAAAAATACCCATTTCGACGTAAAACGTAATACTAGAGTAAAAACGGACGCTTCTCACAATGGGTTGGGGGCTTCCCTTGAACAACTCCACGGGAGTGATTGGAAAACTATTTCTTTTGCTTCACGGTTTTTAAATCCGCATGAGTCAAAATATTCCACAAACGAACTCGAACTGTTAGGAAGGAGTTGTCTGGGCCGTTGAACACTATAAAAATTACCTTTATGGATCAGATTTTGAAGTATTCACAGATCATAAAGCACTGCTTTCAGCCGTGTCAACAAACCACGGAAATAAAACGTATCATAAAAGACTAACAAGCTGGTTGGATAGATTACTACCTTTTAACTTTACAATTAAACATCTCGCAGGAAAAAATATGGTTTTCATTGATTTAATTTCAAGAATTCCATCCGGAAAAACTTTACCGATATTACATTATGATGAAGAATTTGTAGTATCAATTATCAATAAAATTTATAAATCAATCAATCCGTCGGAGAACCAAAGAAAGACCTGCTCGGCCATTGGTTCAAACTTGGAAATTTCCGGTGACGCAAAATTACTTAATTACCTTATAGCGTCAGTATTAATACTGAATAATTAGACTTTTCCAATTTCTCATCTAATCACAATGGAACCGAATTTTGTACTTCAAATTGCGTTCCAACGGATTATTCCAACACTAATTCTTCAATTATTTCTATTTCTAATCAGGCATTTTTTAATTCTTGATTGTAGATTAATTAATTTATCTGTAGATAGAAAAATTGTAGATACTGTTTATATGGATTATTAAAAAATTGTAATTAATCCCTCTATTTCCGGTGTTTCAATATCTTTAGACTTCCCTCTATTGACTGATCACGTGAGTCTTTTAAAAAAAAATACCGTGAAAAATTGAACGTCCCTTGGATTTAAATACTCTTTTTAATGCCAAGCTTGTAGCTCTCCTAATTGAAGATGACCCTAAGTTGAGCCCGTTGATAAATAAAGTTGAGACGAGTAACGCGAATTCCCCATACTTCAAACACTTTACCAGAGATTTACACGAATCCGATGGATTATTATACATGGACGGTAAACTAGTTATACCTTTTACCTTGAGAAATGAAATGATTAAAACTCTCCATGAAACCCATCCTGGTCAATTTGGAATAAAGTATTTGACCCAATACATCTAGTGGCTCCATATTAACAGGCAAATTTACTTTCACGGCATAAACTGCTCAGAATGTACAAAGACGGGTAAGAATTTTAAAAGTAAAATTCCTAGTTCGCAAATCAGTGAACTTCCCCCCAAATAAAATCAAACGAAGAACTCAACCTAGATTTCGCCGGTTCTTTAGATTCATATTGGGGGTCAAACAAATACAATTTACCGTGCATCGATCGATTTTCAAAATTTCTTTCCGCAAAAATTACGTCATCTATCTCTTCAAAAACAGTCATCGAATTCCTTCAAGATTACATATTCTTACACGGTATACCTCATTCAGTTAGAGTTGACCACGCATCTTGCTTTACAAGTGAATTTTTTAAATTATTCTGTGACTCAAACAACATTAAAATAATACTTTGTACAGTAGGAGACCATCGCTCTAACGGATTAGTTGAAAAACTTGTACATACTGTAAAAATCAAATTGTTAGCTATGGCTATGAAACACAAAAACGTACATTTTTGGAAACAACTGGCTTCCGGTAAACCATCCATTGGATTTTTAGACAAAGGGAAATCTATAGTATCTAAGGAAAGAGCGAAGGATTGGAATGCCGACGACAGAGTCAAAGACGGTTACAAGGACACCTTGATTCCCAAGAAAAACCAACCATCAACAGAGAAGGGTTACGACACCGATTATGCCTCCACCTAGAAAACTCCCACTACTAGATTACCACTTCAGAGTCCGTTTAAAGGTAAAATCCTGCGGAAAACGAATGGGAGCATCAACGGAGAGCCATTTTATAGGGAACTAAGCAAA